CTCTTCGTCTTTCTAGGGAATGCAAGTTAAGTTTCTTTAACCTATCCTGATATGGAAGGTTTCCAAGTCCCGGAATCATTTTTGTCATTCTTCGCTGCACCGACTCTAGTGAATTATATCCATTCTATAATAGGGGCACCAGAACTGAACCGCATAATCGAGGTGCGGCCTGACTAGCGCAAGATATAGTTGCAATAAGACCTCTGCACTCTTGTTACTTACACTTCTAAGATATAAAACCCAATACTCTGTTTGCCTTATTTCGAACATTAACGCACTGTTTTCTAGGCCGTAGGTCCGGCTTACAAGTACCCTAGGTCTCTTTCACAAGTCGACTTCTCTAGGTTGATGTTGTTAAGGCTGTATACATTATAAGTATTTGTTCTTCCAATATTAAGTACGCTGCACTTGCTGGTGTTGAATTTCATTTGCCATTTTTCAGACCACCCCTGCAGTTTATTTAGATCTCCTGTAATGCATTTGCATCCTGCCCTGAATTAATTTGCCGCCCTATTTTGGTGTCACCCGCAAACTTGCTTATGTCACTGCTGATCCCAGTATCTAGATCGTTTATGTAGATTATGAACAAGAGTGGGCCTAGTACTGACCCCTGGGGAACCCCACTGGTTACACGGCCCCACTCAGATTTAACACCATCTACGCTGACCCTCTGCGTTCTATCGGTGAGCCATGATTTTATCCAATTTAAAACTTTCCCCTCGATACCATGCAGGGCTTGAAGCAGAGGAGGAACAAGTCGAGGTTGAGAGGGGACGGGTGTACATGGGTGATATCTAGGGGGAAGGGAGTGGAAGCGAGTGCACCAGCGATGAGCCGGAGGGCAGTGGCTGTGGTACACCCCCCACCCGCTATACCTCCCACCAAGGGGAAGGCACCAGCACTACCTCCCATCAGGGAAGAGGTGAGCGCCGCGTAAACAATGGCATTTCTAACCACACCCTGCAAAATACAGTGTACTTTGCAAATGCTGCAGCTGCTGGGAATGGACGGGGGCCGGAGTTACTACCAAGAGCAGAGACGTTATCGAAAACAAATTCCGGCTTGCATGTCATGTACACTAATTTTTCTTTTTTCTTTTATCCTCTTCACCAATTGATCGTCTCGTTAGCCGCTTGGGCGATCGGTCACGTCTCTGTTACGCACTGTTGGCAAGTACTGAGCATGCACCGGCTCCTGAATGTATCTGAACATGCTCCAGTGTTGGTCAAGTCTGGTCTTGAAAGAGCTCACACTCGGTGCCATCACAACACTTTCTGGTAGGTTGTTCCAAGAGATCACAACTCTCACTCCGAAAAAGTTTGCCCTCACACTTTTCTGGACCTGTGGCTTCTTCAATCTTGATTCAAATCTTAACGTAGCAAAGCAACAATCCACATTAGCTCAGGACCTCCCCTTCAATCTTGAGCTGTGACCCCTTGTGGGACAAGCGTCCGCCAGCTCCAAGTAAGGACACTCGACTGAGTAGTGCCCCTTGAGATGCTTATGCACCTCATTCAGGTCGCCCCTTGCCCGTCTGTAGTATAAGCTAGGTAAGTTCAGGCGCTCCGATCTCTCAGGTCTCAGGGTAATTGAGGTGCCGAAGTGCAGGCACCAGTCTGGTGGCCTTCCTTTGAACATTTTCAACCAACTGACAGTCCCTAGCATATCTCGGGGACCAGACACGGTGACAGTACTCCAGATGGGGAAGCACTTCACTCTTGAAGATCGTTACAAGGGACAGACCGTCTAGATATCTGAACGACTTCTTATAAGACCCAATAATTTATTTGTCTGATTTACCTTCTTCCCGAGAACTTCAGCTCATTGTCAACATACACACCTAGGTCCTTCTCACATTCAGTCTCAAATAGTGCAATTTCTTCATCCCGTTGGGACATATCATACGCCTCCTTACCGTTGAACGGTACGCCCCAGGTGCATCCTCTTACACTTAGTGACATTGAATCTCAGCAGCCATTTCTTCGACCAATCTTGGAACTCACTGAGATCCTTCTGCAGTTCTTCACAGACCGCGTGGTTCTTGATTTCCCGAAATAACTTGGCGTCATCGGCAGTCATATGTATGGAGGAGTGTACAACGTCAGGCATGTCATTTGTGAAACAAATGCCTAAGATTTAATATCACGAAGTGTAAGACGTTGCGCCTGGGACGTACCAACGGTAAGGAAGCGTATCATAATATGTCCCAACGGGACGAAGAAACTGCATTAATTGAGACTGAATGTGAAAAGGACCTAGGTGTGTATGTTGAAAACGAGCTGAAATTCTCGGGCCATTGCGAGAAGAAGGTGAATCAGGCTACTAAATTATTAGTTCTTATAAGACGTGCCCTGAAGGCGCTCCCAGTTTGAGCAGCCAGACCGAGTCTGTTTGGCCCCTCATTCCTTCCCCTGCTACATCCCAACGCCCTACCAGCCTTACTACTGTATACCGGGATTTATTCAGCAATACTTTCAAGTGATCAGTGAACGTTTGACCACCAAACAGTGTCCCTATAGTACACTCCAAGGAAAAGCAAAAAACACAGCAGTTTAATGCTGAGTGTGGCTGGATCTGACCTGACCTGACCTCACGGCTTCACCTGACCTAACCTGAAGGATGGAGCACACCTGCATCGCCCCAAGCTACTGTCCTCGCCACGTGGCCACACACCTGCCCAACCGCATCCAGCCCATACGAGCAGGAACTGATTTCTATAAGAACAGCTCAGTCAAAACCATGTTACCTGTATATTATTTGTAAATCAAGAGACCCATTCCCCAATTATGTAATTGTATATTTTCAGCCTTCCGGCTGCCATGCTCTTTCAATAAACCGTTAATTATTATTATTATTATTATAATTATTATTATTATTATAATTATTATTATTATTATTATTTGTCATGGGTTGCGTTAGGCTTACCCACGCAACCAACTCCAAAGTTTGTTTTACCAGAGATAAGACGCCCGGCGAGGCATAACTGGGACATGTATTTTTCCATTAGTGTATGTTAGCCAGCCTTTAGGGGGGTGGGCAGTGAAACAGTGTTGTACTGTTCATCGCTTCACACCCAAAAACCTCATTTTGAGTAGTATCCCCTGAGCCATGGGTTAGTTAGGACGTCGTCTCCATTCTCTCCCTCCTGAAGGGGGGGCGGGACACCACACCACACAGAGTCCTCCACCGCACTCCGTCCTGTGAACCGTCGTCGACACGAGACTAAGCGTGTTAACCATAGGTTTGTTATCCCCGTGGAAATATCACGTGTGGATGCCTGGTTGCGACAAGAGCAATCCAGGCTGGCCTATCAAACCTACAGTAAATGGTTAATTAATTCACGCTTACAGAGTTCTCCTGCACGACACCCGTCTACCGTGACCGTGATCGACACGAGACTAAGTGTGTTAACCTAGGTTGTTATCCCCGTGGAAATATCACGTGTGGAAGCCTGGTTGCGACAAAAGCAATCCAGGCTGGTCTATTGCACCTAATGGTTAATTCAAGTCACGCTTACCAGTTCTACTTGCCGCGACAACCGTCCACAGTGACTGTCAGTGACGCGAGACTATGTGTGGTAACCCAAGAGTACCTTTTTGTTGTTATGGCCGTGGGAAGAAGTTCTTGTGATGAAGCCTGGTTGCAACAAAAGCAATCCAGGCTGGCAGTAAATGAATCACTTGAAGAATTAAGGCTCTGTTAAGTCATACCACAGTAGAGTAATCACATGTGTCCCCAAGTTGGAAATTCCCTGTTTTAGAAGATTAATTTTATTACAGCGTGAACGTGAGTAAATCATATATCCATGCAAATTGTAAATCATTGTATGGAAGCTTGACAAATAAATGTAAGTGCAATTATCTGCCCGTATCTGTGATCCTATCTTATTATTACTAAAGGTAATGACTGATTGGTTATGACATAGTATAACCAATAACTTAGATGGATGTTGAAAATTAAATGAATTCATTAAATCATCATTTATCAAGTATAAATCATGGAATGTCGAGTGGTGGAGTGAACTTCTACGTAGATACGCCATAATCTCCTGTAAGTAATCAGTGTGAAGGTATCGGACTCTACGGTAAGAAATAAGAAATATGACATATTATTATCTTTATATAATATAATCCACTCCTACTACCACCGAACCACCCCAAAACCATGACATTATTATTATTATTATTCAGATATCTAGACCGTCCCTCCTAACGATCTTCAAGAGTGAGGTGCTTTCCCGTCTGGTTCCCGAAATATGCTAGGGACTGTTAGTTGATAAAAAATGTCCAAAGGAGGGCCACCAGACTGTTGCCTGCACTACAGCTCCTCAGCTACCCTGAGAGATTAGAGCGCCTGAAATTGCACTATTCAGTCGAGCCGGAGCTGGCGTACGCTCGTCCCACAAGGGTTCACAGCTCAAGGTTGAAGAAAACGCTAGCCCAGAAAACTGTGAGAGTAAGAGTTGTGAACTCTTGAAGCAATTTGCCAGAGAGTGTTGTGACGGCACCGAGTGTGAGCTCTTTCAAGACCAGACTTGACCAACACTGGAGCAGTTTCAGATAAATTCTGGAGCCAGTGCATGCCCAGTACTTGCCAACAATGCGTAACAGAGACGTGACCAATCGCCCAAGCGGCTAAGGAGCCGATCAGTGGTGAAGAGTTAAGAAAAAAAGAAGAAGAATTAAACCTTATTTCCAGCCGGAAGCTGAAACAGCCCCTTCGTTGATTAAATATGATTTTTTTATTTAGCTTCAGGTATGTAATGTCAATATATATCGTAACATTAGCACATGAAATTTATTAAACTAACGAGTATTGAAAATGTATTATCTTTCGCGAGTTTTATGTTGAAATTGTGAAATTGCTGACCTTTGGTGAAGAATATAGGAAAAGAGACGGACCGATCGCCCAAGCGGCTAACAAGCCGATCAGTGGCGAAGAGGATAAAAGTAAAAGTATAAAAGTGTACTGTGTGGCTGAGGAGGGGTTGGCACCTCTGATGATGTAAACAAACCATGAGCTGAGTCAGAGAGGAGGACGATAGTGTGGGGGTGGATTTAGGAGTGTAATGCACTCGCGGACACCTCTTTTACTTTTTAATTCGGATTTATATTTTCTTAATCATGTCACAACGCTCAGACACAGGAGATGATATTCCTGATAGTGTAGTTGTAACTTCTGTAGTCGCAAAAGCAAGAGGAAAAGCGAGTTCCGCCCACCGTGCAGCTCCTGTGACGGTAGTTGGTCTCGTTACCCCTCACCTCCCTCCTACCCACCAAGACGAGGACGATGATGTAGCCCTCCTGTCTGACCCTGAGCCAGTGGACACCACATATCATGAAGACTTCTTGCTCCTGTCAGCTTACAAGTAGCTGTGGAGAAGATATCGGTATTTAAAATAGCCTTTTGGGGTATTGACAACTGACCTGCGGACATGTAATTTATTTTACTGTTTAATTTCTTACTTTATTTTCCTCAATTAGTTCTGATACGATAATCATTTCTTGTGCAAATGCTTCGTTTGGTAGATAATTAGGCACCTAGGCACACACTAATCTGTCTTCTCGGCGGTAATGCAGTGGTGAAGTCTCATCCCAGGAAGTAAACAGCCAATCAGGTGAATTAATGGTATCACACCGGTCTTTATTTCCGCATTTAAAAATATGTATCTCGTAATGTATATCGGTAATTATATAGGACTAACCCGCGGCTGAAATTGGTTGAAAACGAGTATAAAAATGCAGGATTTTCACTCTTATTTTATAGTGGACACTTTTAGTTTTTCAAATGTATTAAAAAATTGATATTTTAAAAATAAACATTACTTAACATTTGTGGGTATGAAGAACAGACCTAACCTACCAAACCTACATAACCTTACCTAACATTCTCACCACACCCAGGACCCTCCCGGTATATTAAACAGAAAGAACTTACTTTGATATGTTGAAATTGGAGGCATTTTCTGGACATGAGATGTATCGGCGCTTACTGAGCCCGGGCAGCAGAGTGATTTGTTATTGAGATGGTGGGATATGAAGGCCACAGCGTCGATGAAGTGATAGATGATTGTTTCCAAACAACAACTGATTTAGCACACAAACCCAATTCTATTTCACAGTATTGCTGTGAACAATACTTTCTACTTAAAGGAACAATGCCGTGGTCTTTGAAAAACTTTAGGCCTGAATTCAGAACAGTGATTTGAAACCGCATGAAGGTTTAAACCAACGATCGAGCGAAGATTGAAGATTGTTGGTATTCAGAACGAAGGCTTGAGCCAACACAAAGATTCAAACCGGGTTTGAGATTGGAATTGTCGATCCTCGCGTTAATTCAGCTGGAGGCAGGTTTAGAGGTCGATCCTTCAGGCAAGTCAACAAGAATTTTGACATAGAGTGCAGTTTTGGGGGATATCATCAAATTGGAAATTTTGGAGAGAGAGAACACTTCGTTTGGTAGATAATTAGGCACCTAGGCACACACTACTCTGTCTTCACGTAATGTGGTGGTGACGTCTCATCCCAGGAAGTAAACGGCTAATCAGGTGAATTTATAGTATCACACCGGTCTTTATTTCCGTATTAAAAAATATGTATCTCAAAATCTTTACAAAATTCTAAGACATTTTTCTTCTATGATATTTCCACCGGAAATTAAGGATAACTGAGATATTCATTTCTCAAGATTATTACTTTTGCTCAGTCAAAAGTGTCACCATGATTTATTTACTAGGCGGAGGTGGTCTGACTCCTGCTCGCAAGACGCTTCCAGGCCCGGGGGATTAGGTTAGGTTTTATTTTCTTGGTTGTTGGTAATGTAATTTATGATTTATTAAAAATCCAACATTTTCTTTCTGATTGTCTGTGTTTGTGTGGAGGAGGGGGTTCTGAAAAAACACATGATTTCTGGTGGAAATGAATATCAAATTCGTTCGAAACTCATCAAAATACATAGGAAAAACCAATTTTTAGTATTCTAATAAAGACCTGTGTGATACTATAAATTGACCTCCAATCATATTGACGTACTGTATTTCAAAACACCCCAGCCTCTGGCTTGATCAACGCTGATGCTCAGTGCATGCTTAAGAACCATATGGTATGGACGGCTGCTCTCACATCCACAAAAAAATTAAAATTACAAAATATCATAGTAAGTCTTTGTGTTTAATATACCGGGGGTCTGGGGGGCGGAGGCCTTGGCTAGGAAGTTAAGTAAGGTTAGGATGGTGAGGTCTTTTAACAATGCTTCTGCTGCTTGTTTTTCATATCAACTAAGGTTAGGTTTGGTTTAATGTAGAAATAACCAAATTTTAACTCATTTACACAGACTACTACAGTGTCCACTGTAAAACACAGTGAAATTGCGGTGTTTTTATGATCGTTTTCAATGAAAAATCGGCCGTGAGTCAGTCGTCAATGCTGTAATCACCCTTATTTGTTTTCATCAGTGAATACTGATATGATAATTATTTCTTGTGCAAATGCTTCGTTTGGTAGATATTTAGGCACCTAAGGTGCGCACTACTTTGTATTCTCGGTGATAATGCGGCAGTTGTATGTTAAGGGGTTGGATTATGCTAAAAAGAATAATTGTACAAACTATGAAAGTGCCCTCCATAAACTGGTTTTATGTTAAGGTTAGATTAGGGTAGGTCAGGTTAAAAGTAGGTTATGGCTAGGGTTAGTTTAAGGTTAGTTTAGATTGGGTTAGGTTAGTTTGGTTTGGTTTGGGTTAAAAAAAACATTTGCACAAGCTACGACAGTAAGACAGTGCCCTCTATAAAACACTGTGAAGTTGCGGCATTTTTTTAATCGCACTATGCTAAATTTCCAGTGACTCACCTGTCAATATACCAGTAATTTTGACAATTTTAAGACACTTTTCTTCAATGGCATTTCTGCTGCAAATTTTGCCAGTTAGGTTACGTTTGGTTGGTTAGGTTCGATTCAAAACTGTTTTTCCGATGGTTTTTGATGTGTTTCGAACACTTTTTACCTTGATTTTTATATCAAATCTCTAGATTCTGTGATGGGATGGGGGTGGAGGCTTATCTCAGAAACTCTTCATTTGTGCCAGAAATAAAGGTCAAATTCATTCATAACACATCAAAACTAATTCAGAAAACATAGTTTCAACTTTGATTTTGTTTAGTGGCAACAAGTGGAAATCTACCATATTTTAAAGAGGGAGAACTTTTTACTTTAATTAATAAATTTTTTTAATTTTCTTTGTCTTTGATCTTAAATAAATTGTAGTGGCACAGGGCATGAAGGATGAGGGAAATTGTGGAATAACACATGCTGAAAAACTGATCATATGACACTAAAATGATGTCTACGTGCTTTTAATTTCTTTACTTTATCCTTTCACTAATGGGCAATTAAGTACTGAGCATGCACTGGATCCTGAATGTATCTGAACCTGCTCAAGTGTTGGTCAAGTCTTCTCCAAGAGTTCACAATTATCACTACAAAAAAGTTTGCTCTCACAGTTTTCTGAACTTGCAGTTTTCTTCAACCTTGAGCTGTGACCCACAGGGGTGGGGACCACCAGCTCCAGGTATGGACACTTGACTGAATAGTGCCCTTTGAGATGTTTATACATCTTAGTTAGGTCACACCCTTGCCCGTCTGTAGTAATGATAAGCTAGGCAGTTCTAGGCGCCTAATCTCTAGATAGCTGAGGTGCCGAAGTGCAGGCACTAGTATGGTGGCCCTCCTAAGGACATTTTCAGTCAACTGACAGTCCATAGTATATCTCAGGGACCAGACAGGGTGACAGTACTCCAGACAGGAAAGCACCTTGCTCTTGAAGATTGTTACGGGATGAACCATCCCGATATCTGAAAACCTTATAAGACCTAATAATTTAGTTTCTTAACTCACCTTCTTCTCACAGTGGCCCGAGAACTTCAGTTCAGTGTCAACATACACACCCAGGTCCTTTTCGCATTCATTCTCTAGTAATGCAGTTTCTCCAACCCGTTGGGACATGCAATATGCCTCCTTATTGTTGGTATGACCCAGGTGCATCCTCTTACACTTGAATTTCTTTGACCATTCTTGAAGCTCACAGAGATCTTTTGGCAGCTATTCACAGTCTATTTGGTCCTTAATTTCCATAAAAACTTGACATTGTCTGCAAACATTTGTATGGAAGAGGGTATAGCTTCTTGAATGCCATTTATGAAACAAAAAAACAGCAACAGGCCCAATACATTGCCCTGTGGTACCCTGCTTGTCATGGGTACACTTGACAATTTCATACCATTAATCACCACACACTGCTTGTGTCCCGATCCACTCTAGAACATTTCCCCGAATCTCATACCTTTCCAGTTTAATTTTCAGCTTTTATGGGGTACGCTTTTGAAAGCCTTATAAAAACCTAGGTACAGTATATTTTTGTCAATATTTCTGCCTTGCTCTAGAATTTGAGTCCAAACATTTAGAACCCTGAGTAATTGTGTTACACAGGAGCATACCTACATAAAACTGTGTTAGCAGAAGTTTACAAGGTTATTTCAAAGTAAATGTTCCATCTCTTATAATGCTCTCTAGTACTTTACACACCATGTATGCTGGTCAGGCTTGCTGGTCTGTAATTATTTGTGGAGTGACAAAGAAATTATGGTATTACCAATTCGGTCATCTTGTGAATTTTAGGATTTTAAGTTACCACTGTCCGAGAGAGCTTATGTGTGTTTGTTTGTTGGTTACTACGCTGCTTTAGATTAGGTTGAAATTATGTTTTTACTGTGTTTTTTTTTATGTATTTTGGACGATTCTTACCTTCATTTCTTTTGCAAAACCCCTGGTTCCCACTGGGGGTATGCCATTATTGGATAAGGGGGTAACTCAAAAAGGAGTGATTTGCTGTTGAAATGAAGGTCAGAATTGTTCAAAAACCATCGTAAACATAATTTCAACTTTCAAATAGGTGGGTGACCGAAAAGATAATTTTATCCCAAATTAATAGGGTAAATTTTCATTTTCAACCAATATGGCTCTCGAGTTGAGCAATGTGGTTTTCCGATGGTTAAGACAATTTTAAGACACTTTTCTTCTCTGATGTTTCCCCTCACAAATTACTTTATTACCAAACCTAACCTTCTCACCCCTGGATCCCCCGATATATTTAAGTCATTTGCAAGGGAAACGTCAGAAAAGAGATGTGTCTTAAAATTGTCTTAACCATCGGAAAACCACATTGCTCAACTCGAGAGCCATATTGGTTGAAAATGAAAATTTACCATTAATTATGTACTGTGCTTACAACTGCCCTTCTCAGTCCGAGTGTACTCTCACATCCACTAAAAATGTGAAATTACAGCAGGCGCCTTCAATAAAGTTGCTTTCATTGGTACCAGATATCAAAATAAGT